TTTCATTATCCATCCTGTCATTTTTTCTAGCAGCTGCGATTGATTTAATGTTATGGTCCTTGAAGGTGAGATCCTCAGACATGATCACTCCCAGGTCTATGACGTTGGTTTTTCGCTCTATTTTGTGGCCGGAATTTGTTTTGTACTCTGATGAAGTTTTAATTTCCTCATGTTTACTATATCGGAGTAATTGAAATTTCTCATCGTTGAACTTCAAATTGTTTTCTGCAGCCCATTGAAAGATTTGGTTGATGTCCGCCTGGAGCCTTGCATTGTCTGCAATGGAAGACACTGTCATGCAGATTCGGGTGTCATCTGCAAAGGAAGACACGGTGCTGTGGCTGACATCCTTGTCTATGTCAGATATTAGGATGAGAAACAAGATGGGAGCGAGTACTGTGCCTTGTGGAACAGAGCTTATCACCGTAGCTGCCTCAGACTTTACTCTGTTGACTACTACTCCTTGTGTTCTGTTTGTGAGGAAATTATAGATCCATCTACCAACTTTTCCTGTTATTCCTTTAGCACGCATTTTGTGCGCTATTACATCATGGTCACACTTGTCGAAGGCTTTTGCAAAGTCTGTATATATTACATCTGCATTCTTTTTGTCTTCTAGTGCATCTAGGACCTTGTCGTAGTGATCCAATAGTTGAGACAAACAGGAGCGACCTGTTCTAAACCCATGTTGCCTTGGGTTGTAAAATTGATGGGTTTCTAGATGGGATGTGTAATTGATGGGTATCTAGATGGGATGTGTAATTGATGGGTATCTAGATGGGTGGCGATCTTGCTTCTTAGGACCCTTTCAAATTTTTTATGATATGGGATGTTAGTGCTATCGGTCTGTAGTTCTTTGCTATTGCTTTACTGCCCCCTTTGTGGACTGGGGCTATGTCTGTTGTTTTTAGTAGCTGTGGGACGACCCCCGTGTCCATGCTCTCTCTCTGCAGTTCTTGATGAACACGGAGTTCCATGAGTCTGGCCCTGGGGCAGAGTGCATGGGCATGTCATTTGTCGCATGTTCAAAGTCATTTGGTGTCAGGATAATATCAGATAGGCTTGTGTTAACCAAATTCTGTGGCTCTCATAAAAAATTCATTTTGATCTTCGACTCTCAGTCTGGTTAGCGGCTTGCTAAAAACTGAGTCATAATGGGACTTGAGTAGCTCACTCATTTCCTTGCTGTCATCTGTGTAGGACCCATCTTGTTTAAGTAGGGGCCCAATACTGGACGTTGTTCTCGACTTTGATTTGGCATAGGAAAAGAAATACTTTGGGTTTCTTTCGATTTCATTTATGGCTTTTAGTTCTTCCAGCGATTCCTGACTCTTATAAGATTCCTTTAGCTCTCTCCTTATAGTTCTCTGTTCATTATAAAACTGGTTAGGACAAAACCAGCCTAATGAAAATGATGTTGAGAATAGTGGATAATATATAGGACAGTGATAATGAATGAGGACAGTGATAATGTATGAGGACATTGATAATGTATGAGAACAGTGACAATGTATGAGGACAGTGATAATGAATGAGAACAGTGATAATGAATGAGGACAGTGATAATGTATGAGGACAGTGATAATGAATGAGGACATTGATAATGTATGAGGACAGTGATAATGTATGAGGACAGTGATAATGTATGAGGACAGTGATAATGTATGAGGACAGTGATACTGAATGAGGACAGTGATAATGTATGAGGACAGTGATAATGTATGAGGACAGTGATAATGTATGAGAACAGTGATAATGAATGAGGACAGTGATAAGGTATAAGGACAGTGATAATGAATGAGGACAGTGATAATGTATGAGGACAGTGATAATGTATGAGGACAGTGATAATGTATGAGGACAGTGATAATGTATGAGGACAGTGATAATGAATGAGGACAGTGATAATGAATGAGGACAGTGATAATGTATAAGGACAGTGATAATGAATGAGGACAGTGATAATGTATAAGGACAGTGATAATGTATGAGGACAGTGATAATGTATGAGGACAGTGATAATGTATGAGGACAGTGATAATGTATAAGGACAGTGATAATGTATGAGGACAGTGATAATGTATGAGGACAGTGATAATGAATGAGGACAGTGATAATGTATGAGGACAGTGATAATGTATGAGGACAGTGATAATGTATGAGGACAGTGATAATGTATGAGGACAGTGAACTGAATGAGGACAGTGATAATGTATAAGGACAGTGATAATGTATGAGGACAGTGATAATGTATGAGGACAGTGATAATGTATGAGGACAGTGATAATGTATGAGGACAGTGATAATGTATGAGGACAGTGATACTGAATGAGGACAGTGATAATGAATGAGGACAGTGATAATGTATGAGGACAGTGATAATGTATGAGGACAGTGATAATGTATGAGGACAGTGATAATGTATGAGGACAGTGATAATGTATGAGAACAGTGATAATGAATGAGGACAGTGATAATGTATGAGGACAGTGATAATGTA